ACACACATTTAATAACATTGCAGGCTCATGCCCCATAATACACTCAGGTAGGCAAGAAAAACTAGAAGAAGAAAAAAAATATCAATAATATGTACAATGTAAAGTGAACAGTATCACTACAAACAGTAGTAGACTACAACAGTATCACAAACAATGAACATTATCACTAGCTTACTGCATGATATCGATTTTGCATACTGCATCAAAGAGATTGATGCAGAATGATAGCACAGCACTGGTGGTTAGTAGACAGCTCTGACACACTGACAAACCGACAAACCAGGTCTAGAAGGGGCACTCTTTGCTTGTGTGTTTGGTTGGGTGACAGTTGTAGGTTACAGTTTGACAAGAGTTTAGAGTGTGACAAAAGTACAATTTCGATCGCGCCGCGCGCGCGCACACACACTCCAGCATTGCAATCTTGACATCGCAACCTGTTCATTATGCTGCGTTCACACCAAACGTGAATAGAGCGAAATGTATTGCCATTTAGAGATTTATTTATTTTTATTCTCCGTGCAAATTCGTGCACCGAACCGTCGACGCCCGTACCGTTCAATACGAATACATGTAGGGCCGTTCCACCCCTAGAAGATAACTATATGATCTTATTTCAATTATGCTTTCAAGTATCACCAACTTACTCACCTGTTAGTTACAGTGGTATATTGAGTGGTTAGCTGCTAGTCTCCATTAAGCGCTGTCAAAATGCAGGCACGTAATGTCTTGCACTGTTGATGGGGCGTGGCCCATCATGTCGCTAATATGGGGGTTGTAGCGTAAGTGACAAATGACTTGATAAAAAAATAATAATGCATACATTTCAGCTTCCTTTAGACCGTTTCTGTTCAGGAGGGTTTTTTTTAATTAAATGTATTTTCCCCATCAGACTGGGGGTGGGGCCGTGAGGTTGGGGGGGGGGGGCCCGGCAGGGGGGCCGAACCTTGACCAGTGGTGGCCGTTGCCCCCCCTGGCCACCACGTAGCTCCGCCCCTGTTGCTGGGAGTCATCCTCCTGCTCCTCCCGCCTCTGCTCTGGTCCCTCGTCTCCGCTCTGACTCCTTCCACCTTCATCTCCTCCCTGGTCGTCGACTCTTCTGTCTTCCTCAATCTACTCCTCAGGGGGAGTGATGTCACAATCATGTTTTATTTAGTTTTCAGTGTTAGTTTTTACCTGTGTTCTAGTTTGTTCATTAGTTGCCATAGTCCCTAATTAGTTACACATCTATTCCTCATGTCGTTAATCACCTAGCCTTGAGTATTTAAGCCCTCTGCCCTTTCTGTTCATTGTCTTGTGTTAACATTACATAGATTTGTGTATTGCTTGTGTTTTCTCTTTGTGTGTTTTAAATCTATATCGTTCATTCAATCTGCATCACGCATCTTCCATTGGATTCTCTACAAAAGCAACCCGTGACAGCCGTCTCCACTCAGATTTTCTTCAGATTCATCTTCTCAGGAAGGCGATCTGCCTGCACGTGTTTATTTTCTATTTTCTTATTCTCCGGAATCATCATGTTTAGCGACCCACATCAAGTGGATTATTACTCTTCAGGGTGAACGCGATGCAATTCTGTACGTTTGAGGTTTCTTGTCCTCGCTTTATTATGAGTGAAGACACACATGATAAGTGTGATAAGTGCTTGGGTGTTCAACACACGCAGGCCACTCTTAATAGTGTAGGCTATCATACTGTCTGAGAATTTCAGGATGAAAGGACTTTGTTCTTGGCTTCAGTTCTCCCCAGTTACTCTAGCACTGCAGCTGTCGAGACACCACATGCGTTAGGATTTTGGGGATCCGATGTTGGAACATGAAGCTATGATAAGCAAGCCTACAGATTTATCTTGCTCTCTTCCAATCTCTCCTGGCTGCCTCTAACTTCACCACTGTAACTGTTGGATATCTGATGTTAATTGTAACCAAAGTTAGATGGAAATATAGTAAAACATGGGGCCAACAGCAATCCTTTGCTCTCTTTCATTACATTATGTTCAGGATGCTTAAAAGTCTTAACTTGAGTAGTTCACATTCCATGTAACTTTACCTTCAGTGTATTAGAGTCAGGCCACAACTTGGGTGTTTATGGCCCTGTAATTATGACAGGTGGTGCTCCTGTTGCTCACATCGGGCCCCTTGTGTTAGACCCGACCATGGGTCGGATATCCCCTGCTGTTGTGTCATTTCAGGGCTCCGTTCCAGACGGTCAGCCTCCAGTAGAGGCACAGATATGGGTCTCGAGGGCCAGAGTCGCCAAGCCCGGTTTAAAAATGGGAGATTTACAGGGTTTATCCGTGAGCTCATCCTGTATGGATTTTGCTCCCAATGTAGTCAAGGTTGCTCAAGTTGTTGAAAAACCACACTGCAGTTCTTCTCCTCCAACCTTTGTGTCACAGAAGAGTGAAATATTTCACAGGTTTTGCTAATTGTTTGTTGTTTTGGTGGTCGTAGCAAAGGTTTTGTGTCTACCAAGCAAAGAATGTTACATTGGGTAAGAGATGCTATTTCGAAGGTCTATGAGGTGCTCTCCGAGGTTCCTCTAAGGCCCCATCCACACTACTGCGTTTTAGTTTAGAAACGGATAATTAAAACGAATACGATCTCCGTCCACACCAGCGTTTTAGCTGCGTATTAGAATTGATCTCCGTTCACATTAAAACGACTGAAAACGCGGATCACGTGACCATTCACCAACACTGGGCATGCGCGTGCCGGTGTAAACACAACTTCATTGATAAAATGATCCCACCATGCTCTGGGTTAACCCCAAACCGACGCTCCATGTACGGTCAACGGCGCCGCTGCACACGGGGATTGTCACAGATCGCTCGAATAATAGCTTGACTCCGGCGCATGTAGGCAGTTATAGCGTTGTAAAATGCAGAATTTACTTGTACAACAGCGGCTAGCAAAGATATACGCCATGACTGATGACACCCAATCATAGAGCCGAGCGTGAGCCCCTACTACGTCATCGTTTCTAAAGTCCTCCGTCTTGACCCGTCTACACTAAAACGCCCTCCGGAGATTCAAAACGAAAAACGGATCGGCAGCGTTTCTAAACTTCTCCATTTTGGGTCTCCGTTTCTGCCGTTTTAGTGTGGACGGGAGCTGCAAACGTAGCAAAAGGTCTCCGTTTTTAAACGAAAACGCAGTAGTGTGGACGGGGCCTAAGGCTTTGGCTCGAGTGTCTTCAGAAGGTATTTTGTATGTAACTTTGGTTCCATAAGTAAGGAACGATAAGTTGTATAGTTTTCCATACTCCTCTGAGTGGAGACTTACAAGAAACTGCGACACATCATATTTCGGGTGATATATGCTCAAAGAGATATGAGTGGATCAGGATAATAAATAAAGTGGTTGGGTTTAGAGATAGGAGAGGGATAAGCGGCTCAAAAATATCTATATACAGGTGTGTTGTTTAAAGTTATTGACGGTATTTGTACATTTTTTCACTTTTACAGCTGTAAATACATCAAACTGTTTATGTTTCCGATACTGTCAATAAGTCCATATTGTACATTTCTACATCTGTCTAAACTTACAAATATGTATGTTTTTGTAAATTCTTTGTTTATTTGCATTATACACAGATGCTGGTTTGGTTCAGTAAGAGCTATAGGCTCCCAGTGCAGGCAGAATCCGAGATGGGATAATCATTAGGATTGTAAACTGTCATTTGCACTGAAAACATAAGGTTTCCTGGCAGTGAAGTCTTGTCTGAGCATGAAAGAGGCTGTTATGTTCCATAAGTCTGTCAAAGGGAATTCATTTATGGCATAATGTTTTGAACTTAAAGTTTTTATTAGTGCAAACAAGCTACTGTTACCTTGTATTTTGTGTTTAATAAAAAAACAAAACAGCGATAACACTTTAATTTAAAGTTACGAAGTTACAGGTTACTACATGTACTTATTATAGTAATAACGGTAAATTATGCACAATTACAAGTAACTAACCTTAAACCAAACCCTAACTCTGTAGTAAATACATGTAGTTAATTGTACTTACACAGATAAGACCTGAGTAATATTAATGTAACTACGTCACCATAAAACAAAGTGTAAACAAACCAGCTCTCTCAGTGTTTCTCGATATTCAGCTCACTAGAAAGATAGGAGTAAGACCAAGAAAATTGTTTCCCCATGTTTTTGGGGTGTGTGTGTGTGTGAGTACCTACTTACCTAAAACCATATTTAGGGGACAAATTTGTACTTGGGAATGAGCTAAAAGACTCGGTTTGGGGGTGTTCTTATTTGTTTAAATACAATGCATACAGATTTTTTTATTGTAAAAATGCAGAACGTTTTCTGTTCGGGTTAAGTAACAGTATTTATAATTAGCTGTATATAAATAGAAGTCTTGAGAATCTTCCCATAGCCAAGTTAACGTCTGTGTGTGAGGGATTTCAGGTGTTCCTTACTGTAAGTTGAAGACAAAATGTCCCAACAAGTATTCTGATGGGTAGTTTAGGGTTAAAATATATACAGCCCTCTGGTCCTCTTCGCGTGTCGGTCAATAATGACAGAATTTTTTTTTATGAAATTAATGTACTATATTTTAGTTCGATAATGTTTTTTATTTAATATTTTGATTTTTAGGGGATTTTATGGTACTAAATTATATTTTCGCTGTATTTATAATCAATAACATTTCCAACTTAAACTGTCGTAAATCTTGAATTCTTTAGAGCACAGAGTTAAGTTTGATCTCTTTTCAAAGACACTTGGCAAATTATTGCTGAAGTGAAAAAAGTTTTAAAAAGTGAACGCAGAAAACTTGGAAAAAACACTTGCTTTTGTTCACACCTTTACCAAGTTTCGTACCATTCCCATGAAGAAAACAATTCTAAAAAAAACAAGTGGAAAATATTTCGGTCAAAAATGATGAAGAGCACCAGAGGGATAGTTTGTACAGTATAAAAATCATTATGTCTATGGAAAGTCCCATAAAACATGCAAAACCCAGCGTGTGTGTGTGTAATATTAGTTCTCATCTCACCTCAGATCAATGGTATAAGGCCGGTCCACTTTCAGCGTCCACTCGCAGCGGGCATTGTTTGGGTAACTCTCCAGCACCAGGTGACCCTGCCTCTTATGAATCATCCCTCCACATGCTGAAAAAGGAGACATAGTCAGTCAAATTGATGTCAAATGTACACATTAAAAGCAAAATACCCAACTTTGTGAACTGTCCAGGTACAAAAACATTACACGATTAAAACTCTGCTCTGATTGGTCAGCTGCCCCCAATCTGTTGTGATTGGTCTACCGCTTAGAGCGTGTGTCGGAAACACAACACCTCTTACCAGCGAGGTAAACACTACTGTAATTAAGCTAACTATGACGTCAGTTTTGCCGTATCAGTTTGAGCTTGAGTCCGATAACGACAGTCAAGAAGAACAAGCTGATCGACTCGAACCACCTTCACAACCACGACTTGTACAGGACTTTTCACTGTGGTCATTTATTATTTTCTACCTCTCTCCTCTCTCCTTACCTTTCAGAAGTGATGTTATAACCGTGTCATTTCTCTACATCACTGTAAAAACTGTATGTTGATCAACACAGTGACCCGCATCGAACTGCAGGGTTCAGAAAGCAGAAGTTCAGTAGTTAGAAAATTGATGAGAACACAACAAAAGGCTGTAGTGCTGAAGAATAGTGTTAAACATAAATGAACCACTGACTCTTCAACTCCTCATGACCATGTAATAATGTCTTGCCAAAACAAAACAACGTTTACCTGACATAGTGATAAACTCTTCCCAGACATATAACTACCTTTGTTTGATGGTGAGCCAAAGTAGCCAGTAGATGGCTTTATGTAAATGTGGTGAATAATGTGAGTAACGTTACAGAAATACTGGCAGGACTACAAACAAGGTGTTTTCTGTTGGAGAGATCGACTCCCTTTGGAGGGGACGATTGTCAAGTTGTGTCAAATCAACATGCTGCTCTTGTCGCCATTGTTCAGCGCTTGTTTTCGGCCAACTGAACATGTTCAGTCTGTGTTCGTTGGGTTGTGGAATGTCTGAGAAGTGACATACTAATCTGGTGATTGGCAGCGCTGGTCGGCTTCTGTCGGTGCGAGTGAATTAGCCTTAAAGCTGCTCCATATGGAAGATCTGTATGTTTTTACATCTCAGCCGGTGAGAGTGAATATGAGCAAAGAGATTAAGAATAATGAAGCTTATTTCACGGCCCTGTGGAATACTTGATTCCGATTGGTCAATAGTGCCATCCAGCGGTATATTGTTCCCAGATAACAACCGCTGAAAACAGAAACACAGGCTCATCCGGGTTACTGAAGTTAGCAGAGCTACACGCTTGCTAGGAATGTTTTTTCTTCGTGGAAGTTTTGCATTTGGTGAGCAAATAAAATATTAAAACTCAGTGAAATCAATATTTTGTGTGCAGTTATTTAATTATGCCATCCAGTATCGTGGACTCGCTCTCTCTTGTTTTATACAAATGCAGCGGCTGCCATTTTGTGACTATTGTTATGTACACTGTTGGATTATAAGATACAAACAGGTACAATTTTAAAACAGTTTATTCTGAAATCTATATCTCCATAATTATTTATGTGTTGAAAGGCTGTGTTATAAGTGGTATGACTGTATACCGTATCTCTTAAATGTCCGTCTAGTTTGAACTTGCAGCGCTGCAACTGCTCTCTCCGCAGAAGCTTTAAGATTAAAGACCTAATAAAATATCTCAACTCAGATCAATGTTTCATGTCTAATTGTTTACTTACGTGGCAAGTATCCGTGTAATAAGCGGGTTAATGGACATCCAGCCGGTTGTTATCTCAGAATAAACCCCTTCAGTCTGATGCAAGATCTGATCCTGATCCCCCTGTCTGGGTTTATTCTGAGATAACAACAGGCTGGATGTACAGTATCCCTTACTTATCTGGGTAAACTGGCTGATTATTGATACAGTAAAAACTGCATTCAAATACAAGCATTTCACAGTCATGTTCCAGAGAAAGAAATTCCCAGATGAATTTTAAATCTGTCATTACTCTGAATGCATGAACACTGCAGATTGTAAGGAACTTACTTAAACAATCCCCACCGGACCATCCGGGGCGACACTCTGCACAGTACTGCCCTTTTACAAAGAAATCGTCCCTTGGGGCCCATGTGCCGTTGTTACAGCGCTTGCAGTTCTCAAATATGCTGCAGCCTGAAGAAGAAAAAGCAGAAGCCCTAGGTTTAGAAAGAGGCATTGCAGATTGGGATTTAGTTCTAATGAACTAGCATAGAAGATGCAACGAGCTTGCGTGTTTTCTATGACACAAAGATGCCACCACCATTCGTCATATTACCAGAACATACAGAATGATGTGTTCTACATGTGTTGTGACCTGTAATACACTCCATGGTGGAATCGTAGGGTTAGAGTACCGACGTTGTATCTAGTCGCATTAGGCTGAAATGAACTGGAATTATTCTTCAAATCAGCATTATCAGCAATATTGCAAAGTTTTTCATTGAACTCGCCATAATAAATTATGAGATTTTCTTGTATGAATTATACATGCACTGCTGCCTCACATTTTGGCCAAGACATTTCAGAATACAGCAAATTCTGACACTTTGAGACAGGAGTACCTATGATACCTACTGATACAGTCTGGGTAAGTTCTGAGACAGAGCCTGAATCCACATTTTTGACACTAAACAGCAGTTCAGGCATTTTTTTAGATTACAAACATCTGGCTGGTCGCATGTACAGACATTTTTTAAGGCCAGACAATTTAATTTTCCTGTTGCTGTAAAATCCTTTATAGACATCACACAGTCAAGAATGTGACCAACATTATTGCTCAGAGGAAAAAAAAAATCCTTTAACCATTAAATCCAAATGGAAGGAATGCACTGACTCTTTTCTTTGTTTACAAGGTTCCAGAGAAAAATTATAACAAAATCACCAAATCATAAACCAGGATGGACTGAAGGACATATATGACATTTATATTTCTGCCAGGTGTTTGATTGCTTGTGAGCTGCAGAATTATAAAAAAATATAGGATCAACTGAAGCGATTAAGAGTGAAAAACCAAGAACAAACCAAGACATACATCACAAGAAGAGAATATTGCGAAATCTCTGCAAACGTGTTTGTGTGTTATCTGCTCACCTGGATGTATGATGCAGGGATCACATTCATTCACCGCATTACGACAGCATGGCACTGCGTACCCTACGGGATACCCCTGAAGAGGACATTTACAGCGGATGACATCATATTCACAGCATCCCCTGCACATCACACTCCACTCGGGCCCTGGACAGTAGCTGTACAGGAACCTGTAATCTAACAAGCAACGCACAATATAATCAAAATCAATATACCCTTTTAACTTTACAATAAAGTTGTATTTGTTAATGGTAATTGTTGCATTAGTTAACATGATCTCTAACAAGGAACAATATCATTATACAGCATTAGTTAATCTTTGTTAATGTTAACTTTCTGTGAGCTTAGTTTTGTTTTCATGGACTTTTAGTTTTCATTCGTTAATAGTCACCTGTTTCCATTGTTCCTAGATTCCCGCTAATTGTTAGTTGTCATGGACACTCATTAATCACAGCTGTTTGTCATTGTCTCATCTAGGGTTGCCAATTCAGAAAAGAAAAATGTTGGACAATCATGGTTCTTTACAGGAAAATAAGGGACACTCAAAATATTTGTACTGTATCACACAGTATATGTCATTTCAGGTGTGTGTGGGTTTAAAAGGTTCTCAGACATAAACATTTGTTTTGCTTCACCTATTTATGTACAATTTAATTCTAAAACTAATTTTAGGTCACACAAAAAAGTCACATTACACACAAACCATAGTTCAAAATAATAGCATTTATCTGAAATAGAAAGCTTTTGTAACATTACACACTACATTTTAAAGAAATTAAAGAAAGTAATAGCCTACTTTTATTCTAGCCTGGTTAAAACCAGACCATTCTCAGTTGTAACTGAGTTATGGTCTGGCAAAGCGTCATAAACAAATCATTTCCAGAGGGGCGTCACCAACGGACGTCGCGGATAGACCTAAACCCAATCAGAGCGATGAAGGAGATGACGTATGCAGAGCGGCGGAGAAACATCTCCGAGTGTTGTTCTTTGCTCGGTTTTTAACAAAAGGGAAACGTTCAAATCGCGTAAAACAGACGCGATAGCTGATTCGAACGAGTGATGTTCGACGGCGGCATCCATCTTTGTAATGTAGGCTACAAAATCTGCTTCAAAATCCCAGCGCTGTCATCATCGTGTAAAGCCCGCCCCAACGCTTCTGATTGGTGCCGCGATTTCGGCGGAATGGAAATGAGTTTGAATGAGCTCTTTGCCAGACTAACTTTCAGAGCAAATCTAAATTTGCCGGAAGTTGTCTGGGTTTTCCCAGGCTACTTTTATTCAGCAAGGACGCATTAAACTAATCAAAAGTGGCAGTAATCACATTTATAATGTTACAAAAGCTTATTTTTTTTCTCGGATAAATCTACTTTGAACCTTCTATTCATCAGAGAATCCTGACTTAAAAAAAATCTGAAATGTTTCTTGGGTAGCAAATCACATCAGCATTTTATTCCCTCTGGGGAATAATCTGGGAAGATTTCATGTTTTCTTGCGTGGCTGGATGTTGGACATGAACAATAATCACGTTGTTTGAATTCACCAAAACTGATTTGCCGAAATCAAAACCCGTCCGGATCGAACCGGGAGCAACCAGACAGCAGAGGGGGGGAGGAGGCCCAGAGCAGAGTCATTAGGATGAAGACCTTTGTCGGAACAGACGGAGAGAGGAGTCAGGAGCACAACCGACTGAAGTGGAGGTGGGAGAGGTGGAGACCCAGGCAGAGCCAAGGAGACAAAGACCCAGGATGACACCGCTGGACCGGAGGGCCAAAGCAGAAACCCTGGACCACGGGATCGGGGTGAAGCCAGTGGGAGTGAGGACAATGGTGGAGCTGGAGGGAAGGAGGCAGAGCTGGGCAGAACCAGAGGAGGAGTGCTTGATGGGATCAGTGAAGGCAGGGCCAAGGAGCTTGAAGGCGTAGTCAGAGAAGGAGGGAGCGGGAGACTGGGCAGAACCAGCAGCGACGAAGGAGACTTGGGGCTGGGCAAATCCAGCGGCAACAAAGGAGTTTGGAGTTTGACCAACGGAAGAGATTGGGCTTGGGAACAGGAGGTGACCAGGGAATCCAATAGTCCAACCGTGGGGAAATCAAGGAGGATTAATGGGAAAGCTCTCTGTGCCATCTGGCTCCACTGAAAGTCCTATAGGGATGGACATGGGTGCCAGCTCTCGCACCTGATCAGACATGCCAACAGGCTCTGGCTCCATGTCTGCAGTGGGCTCATGCTTAGTATCCGTAGGCATTTGGAAGGTAGGCTCAGGCTCTGGGACAGACAATGGCTCTAGGCTTAGGCTCCTGGGTGGACAATGGTCAGACTCAGCTTTGGCTCTGGGTCTGCGGTGGGCTCTGGCTTTGGGTCCTTGTCAGGCACAGGGACTGGCTCTTAACTCGCAGTAGGCGTGAGGAGGTGTGGGGAAGGTCTAGGGAGGAGTTCAGAGGATATTGGGGTAACTAGAATGAGAATTGGCGATGACAGGATGGTGGACGTGGGCTGGGCAGGTTGCAGCTGAGCACATAGCTCAGCCTCAGCACATAATCCATGTGTTGTTCCAATGTGCATGTGGTAGCTCCCACTGGCAGCATTTGGAATAGGTGGTCATCCAGCCCAGGTCTTTAAAGGGTCATGAAACCCCAAAACACATTTTTTGAGATGTGAACAGATATGTACAGGTTGCACATCACTGAAAACACTAAAAGCACCCATAAATGTTATCAATAAGTGGAAATTGGTTATTTTTGCATTTTTCCGAGCAATTTCGTTCTTCCGGGTTGAAAAGCAAAGTCGAAGCAACGTCAGGGAATGTGAGGTAGAAGCGTCATCGGAGTGTGTGATTGGCTGTGGCACGATTCTACGTCAGCTGACCCTCGAGATAATCTCTGCATTTATTCATGAGAAAGAGCTTGTTCAATACAATCACTGCGCGTTATTACACATGAGATCACATTACAGCGGAGAATTCAAACAACATGCGGTGTGTGCATGAGAGCAGTTACTGTGCGGAAGCGCCGCGATGAGTTCAACAATGCTCGCAACGCGGATCATATCGTTCATATACGGACCAGAGCAAGTCTGTTTCAAGTTTTTTTCAGTGATATGAACCTATTTCATATACTCTAGTGCTCTAAACATGAACCAGCACCGTGTTCGCGCACATGTCTTCTTCAAATTAAATATATGTGCAAATAAGGACTCTGATGTAGCCGTACGACCGATCATGAATGCGATGACAGGAGGAATACATCTGATACACAGAAGACAATGATGTAACACTGACAATTCAAAGAACAACTCCCACTTTTGGAGACTTTTTCCAACTCTGAGGTGTGAACGCCCAGGCTAAAACAGGGGGGGGGGGGGGGGATTTCTTGACACTTTAAGGTGCTATCACTCCAGGATACCAGGTGGCTGACTCGAGGAACTCCTTCTCGTAGTCTTTCAGTGGATGGCCATATTGTGCAAGGGAGAGGAGAATGTTTTGCGGGAGTGAATGGAAAATCCTGCTGGGTTTATTTTGGTTGGGTATGACCTTTTGTCAGGGTTTACACAGGATGGAGAGAGAGCAGGAATACTGCAGCAATGGTACATTTATTGAACCAACAGCAGGATTAACACATGAGGTTTGATAAACAAGGTTCAGGAGGAGCAGGTGCAGTTAATTAACCCAATCAGCACCAGTGGGGAGCAATCAGTAATCAATCTAGGACAGGATAATATCAGCAGAACCCACACTGGTTCCTTGACAGTTTATCAGCATCCCACCTCCACCCCATCTCCTCTCTTTCAGTTCCATCTCTAGTTCCATCTACTCTTACCACGGGGGAGTACTCTGGGTTCGGGCAGAATTCCGAGCTCGGAGCCCTCCACCCGGACAGCACGCCAAGTACGCACAATCTTTATCATAATAATTATATGTAGATGTGAACTCGTGAAAAGGCAGGTTAGTAATGACTTTGATGACAGACCATGGAGTGAACAAACTGAGTGATATCTTGAATCTTATCTCACACACGTGCACACACACACACATGCACGAGATGAGAAGCACAGAGGAGATTACCAGGAAAAGACAAAGCGATGACTTGGAGTTGATACTGAAGATAAAACATTGGCGATCAATCTCACAAGGCAAAGTGAGTCCATTACTCTCAACAAAGCGGTGTGTGTGCTGGGTTTTTATAGCATGGTGATTAGAGTGCTGATGAGGGACAGGTGTGAGTGATCGGGTGCCAGGGAGGATCATGGGAAATATAATCTGTGTCAGTAATCAGCTGTTGATGTTGATTTTTTTGTGAATATAAAACTTACTACTATAAAATCACACTTACTAATGACTTCTACAGACATATATGCTATCCGCCTTGAAGATTAGGAACATTTTTGCCTTGAATGTTTTATATGTCATTGCTAAAAATCTATTTCTCATGGAGGAAACGAATGGAATTTTTCCTTCCTCACTGAACGTTTTTTCAAGAGACGACCAACGTGGAACAAATTAAGGACTTTGTATGTACAATTTCGGTCTATTGTACAATTTTGTCTGTGCAAAACTGGCTGCAATGATGGCTTGGCAGTTTTCCCATTATGTATTAAAGATTTGGCTCAGAAAATGTTGACATGTTTGTATGGTTTTAATTGTGGTTGATTTATAGGTCATGTGTTACAACTGTTAAGTAAAGCAAATAAATGTTTTGCAGTTTTTGCTTTACAATAAAAAGTCCAGTGTTTCCCCTCAATGTGGTCTTTTATTTTAAATAATGTTAGTAAAGAGCCTAAATATCATGTCTAGTTTTGAGTTTTGTGTCATGGTCATGTTTCATGTCCTTTATTTTGAAGTTTTCCCATTGTTATGTTCCTAGTTTTACCATGTACTCCCCTTGTCATGTGTCCTATGTTGTCATTGGGTAATTGTCTTAATTATTGTTCACAGGTGTCCCTTGTTTGCCCTGTTTCTTGGTCGTTTATTGAAGTAAGTTGCAGTCCCATGTTTCTCAGGTCTTGGTTCATTGCCAAGTTAAGTTTTTGTTCCGGTTTATGGTTTGTTTCACGTATTGGATTTTGTACATAGTCTATGTTTCATGTTCACTGTAAATAAACTGCACTTGGGTTCTCTACGTCATTGTCTTCATCTGCTTGCAAGCTCGTCAATGTCCTCCTCAGCTATGTTACACTGCAAC